ACTACAAAATCAACCAGCAATTATTTAACATTATATTTTGCAAACAATTACATACAAGAAAATCAAACAAATACAAATAATCTATTACAAACATTAAAATTAAATTGTCATTACTATTATACCAACCAAACGTATTGTTTTGTTATCATAACTTGTTAATGAAATGATATAACTTAACTAATGTTGTTAATATTATATTCTAAACCTTCTCATTGCGGTCTCTAATTTTTTGCTAAGATTTGTCACAATGAGTAATATCCCTATATCCCTTGTTTAATTAAAAAAATTGCTAAGACATACCAAAATAATAGATTGTCACAACATTCACTTTTAATAACAAAATAAATGGGTCCAGTCCCAACAACCCCAAAAACAACAACATACTTTGGGAAGTTGCAAAAAACAACAGCATAATTTAGGTCTTATACAAACAAAAGTCAAAAACAGCATGGGTCTCTAATCTCTCTGTGATTCAAACAGGTTTTCAGCCTTCATCATCCCAACTATTTTTTGGGTGATCCTTGCATAGCTTCCTATTTACATCAAGTAATTATGCCACAAAGTCAGGGTTATATGTGTCATTTAACAATATTCCTCCATGAAAACTCTGAATGAGAAAAATAAAACCTTAAATGGATCATTATTTGTTCTAAAGCGGATAGAAGGAACTTATACCTTAAGAAATGTCAAAAGGACAAAAATGCCCTTGGTACCACTTAAACAGAGAGCTTTACTTCAGATACACACACATATGGGGGCGATAGGGCATACCTGGGAGCATCATACCAAAGCATTTACCAAATAGATGAGAGAAAGGAAAACTACTTGTGCTATCATTGCTGATAGCTTACTTCACCTGAAATGCAAAAAATAGCAAGGTACCTTCATTAGATGGTTAAACCCACATTTTCATAATATGGATGAGATTTTGACTCGTGATCTTTTCCATGTTGTGGATTTTGTTGAGATGTTGGGTTGTTGCAAGGATGCCGCCTAGAACGCATGCACTTTTGGTCCCCTGGTTGAAATGCTTAGTATGTTGTAAGGATTCCCCAGTTAGGATGAACGAAATAGAAAAGAGAAGTGAAAAATGGTCATTTAGGAGTCTTAATTGATGCATTGTTTAGTTAAACTGTCCAGGGACCAAAAGTACAATTGTAATTACTCATCTCGCCTTATATATCAAGTAAGCATCATTAACAAATAATTGTTGAATGTATTAAAATCATATATTTCCATAACCTAAACAGATGCTACATTTCCATAGTTAGAAATAACCGATCCTCATCCATGACGAACCGATTTCTCCAGCCAAATCTTAAAGATTCCAGTCGATCCTAAGATTATAAAAGTTAACAGAATATGAACGACAGTTTAAATTTTAGGTTCACAACTGATAATAGACTCACAACATGTTTATGGAAACGTAAAATCTGCAAGATGAATGGACAACTCAAATAAACAGCCCACAAATTTTCCTCACAGTTTCTACATGTTGAAAATCCTGCATTCCCATCACACACAAATCAGCTAAATATCTGAAAGAGGTTTAAGCATAAGGACCAAATGAAAATTACACATATTACAAGAGGAACCAACACAACCTCAAACACAAAAAAGACCCTAAAACCTAAAACATTAAAAAATATCAACGTGGAACAGCAAAAAGTATCATACATGGCAAACATACTGTAGCTAGATACATCCTATTATATAATTAGGAAAGTCTAACTCCCAAAACCAAATCAAAAATTTTATGTAAAAAATCAATAGAAATACATCTAAAATTTCATCAGATACATGGCATAAGTTTTTCTTATGAATCAATAATATGAGATACTTTCCATATCTGTGGTGATGACAACTTTCTGAACGTTATGCTCCAGCAAAAAAAAACACAAATCAATCCAGGGAAGATGAGAACCATTGGTTACCTACAAATCGGAATCAGAGTGAAAAATAGGAATCGGGAGTGAAAGAAAGATATAACCGTTGCATATAACAAAGTTCTGAAGATGATGACGGCTACATATAGTGATGCAGATGGTGACAACAGAGAGAGGGAGGCAAATTCAGTTTAGGGTTTGGAGAGAGAGAGAGGGAGAGAGAGAGAGAGAGAGAGAGAGAGAGAGAGACGACGACGACGAAGATTAGTGAACATAACATGAATTCAAAACTACAAATTTGAATCAACCACCGTATCATTTATTCAATTCATGAATCAGTGGCGGAACCAGAAACATTTAAAAGAGGTAGCACAAAAAAAAAATTCCGATAAAAGATAGTAAAATAAAGTTTTTAATTACGATTTCAATAGAAATAACAAATTAGCGCAAAAGTTTTACATAACATTTTAAAGTTGACCTCTACGATTGCCCATTTCTGAAAGCGTTCTATCACTCGTTCGATCTTAACATCAATAAGTGCTTCTTTTTCTACACTACAAATCAAAGCATCATTCAAAAAATCATCACCGATTTTATTACGTAAGTCGGTCTTCAAGAGCTTCATTGCGTAAAAACATCTTTCAACGGTTGCGGTTGCTACGGGTAAAACCAAAGTCAACTTTAATAACCTATAAACCAAAGGAAAAGAACGATGTTTTCTAGTGTCCACCATCAAACGAGAAAGTTCTGCAATGCCCTTCAAATTAGCAAATCTCTCATCATCAATCAAAGGGTGATAATATGTTTCAAGTTGACCATCAAGATACACCCTTTCCAAATCATTAAAATCATTTTTGTATAATTCACTTAGCTTCACCAACTTTGATTTGTCAAACATAGAAAATGTATTACAAGGACTCAAAGCTGCCATGTATTCTAGATTGTGGTTGTGGTTGTGGAGTAGGTTATGGTTGCGGAGTAGTAGATTATGGTTGCGGTGGTATAGTAGGTTGTGGTTGCGGTGGTATAGTAGGTTGTGGCCTTTTTCCTCCACCACTTTCATCAGTACTACCAACATCCAGTTTCCTTTTACAAAAATTTACAATGGAACCCTACAAATTCACAAGCAAATATGAATTTTAACCTAGTTTCATCATTCACCAACAAATTAACAATAACAGTTAATAATAAGTTAATAATAAGTAAATATGATAAGGGAATAAGGGATTAAAGAAATACATTAATTATAAAAGTATTGATTATAACAAACTAGCAATGCATTAAAAGAAGGGTTTAAAGAAATACTTATTTCATTCTTGATATATGCTAAAAAGCTCCACCAAGCCAAGCCACCAAGCCTTTGAGAGAGAGAATAAGTGAAATTGAAGCCAAATTGAGAGAGTGGGCAAGTTGATTTGGCAAAAAAAATGAAGATTCTTTTGCTTGCCCTTTTGTGTTCACAGTGGACGGACGTACTAAATAAAGAAAATAAGGATTTGTTTTTTTTTCTTTTCCCTAATTCCCCTGTGTACTTATACCCGCACCAATTCCAATTAATGGGCTTTTAAGCTTTATTTTTATTTTAAGTAAATGGGCTTATTAAATAGCAATTTCTTATTTATTATTAGCCCAATAAATTAAAAATATAATTGGGTTAGTACATTATTAGGTAATGGGCTATTAGATATTTACATTATAGTTAGTTTTTATTCTTTATTTAATCTAGAAATTAACATAATTTTTTTAGTAATGCACTAATATATAAAAAAATAAAAAATAAAAAAAATTACACTATTACAAAATTTTTAAGAGGTGCACTGGCTACTACTGGCTCCAAGCCTGTTCCGCCATTGTTTCTGATTCTTAGTGAACGGCTGCGAATATGGGTTTGATTCTGATTCATTGATTCTGTTTTAGATTCTTTTTCGGATCAATTTGTGAATAAGAGATCAGCAGAGCAAATCTGCAATGACGAAAGGTTTTTTTTTGGAGAGCGGACTGTTGTGATGGTGCATTTAATCATTTATGAGCAGAGGGTTTTTGTAGGTGTTAGACCGATTAAACTTGCTGAAAGCGTGGGATATTTGGTATGTTAGACCGATTGATTTCCTTAATTTTCGATAAACATGGTTAATTCTAGCAATTTTTTTATGGAATTAGTTATATTTATATATCTTGACCCGATAAGATTTTAACGCTTGAATTGATTGTACATATCGCAATAACGTTTGTACGACTTAAATTTCAGCATTTTACCAAATACGCTTTGTAAGGTGTATATATATATATATATATATATATATATATATATATATATATATAT